AACATGCCCTAGCTGAGCCCTTCTTCTTCAGAGAAGAAAGAACCTAATACCATAGATGATAAAGGAAAGTACCTTAAAATGAGCAATAAAAAAGGCGCATTGCATGTTGATACCCTATTCCCAGAAATTCATACGGCATGATTGAGTACAGATAACCAAGACTATCTGCAACAGAGCATTGAAACTAATACCATCAATAATAACTCTTTAACTTGCCTCCCTCATAGGACAGGGAAATGAAGTAAATGAACTTACCGCAGAGAATTTGAATGTAATGATAATTTACAGGATTTCATCAATGATCCTCCGCCTACATCTTTGCAAATAAAAAAGAAGCGGTCACACCGGCATGAGAGGTTGCACAAAAAATGACAGATTGCACTGGCATGAGAAAATCATTATTTCCATTTACACACGAGAGATTATAATGTTGAATATTGTCAAGAATTTTAGTAACTTTGGAGTCTAGCTTAAAACGGTGCAAAGAAGCTTAGGTATTAACTCAGTTATTTGTCTGCTACACATTGAACAGTTGTATGGCATAGGCATTGTAGCAGAATAGCTCCATGCCTCCAAAATGCGGCTTCCTGCCTAAGAAGCTAAACCTAAAACCCGTCTTATAGTTCTACTTTTTGGACTTCACACATACTTCAACCAAGATTGAGATTCATACCTTTGGTATATTCTTACTATTATATATTGTTGGCTTCTTATCATAATACTAAACACACAGTAACAGACATGCAATAACAAATATCTCAACTCCATAGATAGCCCTCAAGGATACACACAAGCTCACAAACTCTGACTCCTACTTGAAAGCACCAAAATAGTTGTTAAGGGTCCGTTTGGTATAAGGAATTGGTGGAATTGGAGTTGAATTGGAATTGAAATTTCATGAGATTCAATTCCATAGAATTGAATTCTGTCAATTTCAATTCATTTTTTGCATTATCAATTCCGAATCCACATAATTTTTGTGCTACCAAACACCAGAATTGGAATTAAAGTTCTCAATTCCAATTCCATAGTTTGAATTCCATGTACCAAACGGGACCTAAGTCTTACCTATCTCAATAGTTTATATTTACGTGGTGCTGATTAGGGTTGTAAGTAAAGCAAACAATTATGGATCAACTCATGATTCATATTCAAATATGATGATTCTTGTTTGAATAGTTCAAATGCAAATACTCAGTACTCACTCTATACCCTTTTACCTTTTTTATGTGTTCTACTTTTTTTGTCACATACGGAGTACTGCATTTGGTCATACTTGTTTGGTTAACATCAATTCTTTTTTTGTCTTATGGATTACAAAATACTTCTTAGTTTAAAATCAAAATTAAACACATAAATTTAATTTCCCTAATTTCAGTGTCACTCCCTCAACCCCAAAAAACAGTGTGATATAAGGAGTATAATTTTTTATTCAAATGTTAAAGGAATAATATACTCCGTAAGAAATAAGTGATGGGCTCAGAATTCATATCTATTATGCCAAATAACAATTGAAAATTTGCTTAAAATTCCTTACTTGAATATCAATTAATACAAATTGCATTACAAATTTGTATCATATTCGGATTTAAAAATTCAAACTAATACATTCCAAAGATTTGGGTATTTGAATCGGTCCACTTTGATAATTTAAAGAAAAGAATAATAAACTATCTATTATCGAGATCAAAATTCTAGAAAATTAGTTTGAGCAAATATAACAAATAGAAGATGCTTGAATTTTAGCAGAACCATACCGCAATATCAATGACGGCAGGGAAATCGAAAATAGAGAATAGGAATCAATGAAGTTACAAATTGAATAAAAAATTCAAATCAATTTAGGAAACAAACCTAATTCTTGAGCCATTGAGAATTCTGATTGCAATAAGAGATTCACGCAATTAAGGATTCTCATCATTTTGGTGAAGAATGCGAAGAAGAAATCCGGCTCTGATACTTTCCTTTAAAAGGCTTCGAATTATGCGCGGCGATGGAGATGGCGACGCGAAGAAGACGGAACCATGAACGGAAATTGATTTCATTGGGAAAGGCTTGGGCGATTTCCAGTAAGAAGCCAAAAGATGACGCGTGGAGCATTACACGTGTCTCAAAATTAGAGTTCTTACTTTGCCACATGTCAAAATTCTAGGCTATCAACTCTCAAATATTATATTAAAGGATTGTACAATTTAAATTTGATATTCATAATCAAATAAATTGATTTAAAAATAAAGATAATCAAATCATAAGTATATATTTTTAAAATGTAATATTTGGGCTTGAATATATGAGCCTCAGAATGTAGGATTTGTTGGCCCAACCTTTGGCTGGGTCAGCCCCCAAATTTCTAGTTCTCTATTAGCTTTCTTGGTTAAATCGCATCTCAATTTCTTTTAATCATTTTGGGTTAATAAAATGATAATGTTATTATATGATAGAGTCTATATTATACATCTAGATATACCTAAAGCTAGGTACACTCCGTAAAAATTCATTTTGAATCAACGAAGTGTTATTTTGAAGTAACGTGATGTTTATTTTCACAAATTTACTCATTACAATTATAATATTTATTTACGAAAAATGCAGTATTCATTCTGAAACAATGTCATGTTTATTACAAGCCTGTTTAGTCTAGTGTTTATTCCGAAAAAACGTAGTGTTCAATCTGAAACAATGTAATGTTCATTTTAAAATACTCCCTCCGTTCTAAAACTTTCTTCCCAGAGCACTATTCCAACTTCACGCGAATTTATATTTATTTGTGTTCTTTCATTGCCTATATGATAAAATAAAATATTCTTGTCACCACTTGTTTTGTTGAATTTTTGATGTAGTTTTTAAATATGTATGTTTTATTTTTTATTTCTATACCAATATTTAAATAAAATAGATTGAAAAACTTAAGATTTTTCTTCGTTTTGCGCAACGGGAAGAAAGTTTTAGGACGGAAGGAGTATTTTTTAATTAGAAGTTTATCATAATGTACTGTACATCTGCCTATACCATATAATATGCCATTTTTTGTTATACTGGAGTATTAGGAATTATAGGTTCCATATACCAACGAATTACTTATTAAATATTTGAAAATCAAAGATTTAAAATAAAAATAATAGAATATATTAAATCAAAATATTTACGGAGTATTAATTTTGTGACGTTTTTCATTTTAATTATTTGAAGCTCATTTGCGATAATATTTTTTATTTCCCATCCAAAAAATTTCTTCGCATTTGACCTTTTACAATCATCATTATTTTAATTTAATCATCCTTTATGTATACATAGATATGTTTTATAAAACATTATTATTTCAAAACAGCATTTCGAATGAAATCTATTGATATTAGATTTACTCCTTTTGTCCTGAATTGGATGTCACTGACACTATTACAGCTTCTCGATAACTTTTGTTTGTTTGTACATTTTCATTAATAATTTGATAAAATAAAATATTCTTGTCATCTCTTTTTTGTAGAGTTTTTATGTACTTTTAAATGGTGTAATTATACTTTTTATTTCTATTCTAATTTATAACTAAAATGATTTGAAAAATGATAGGATTTTGCACGTTGTTTAGGTAGTCGTATCCAATATGGGACCGAGGGAGCATATCATAACATGTTGTATTTTTTTCGGTATACCAATCTCTAAGTTTAGAAAATTTGACTACGAAAAGTCAAATTGGGAGAAAATTTTTGGAGAGAGAAAATTTTTGTGATTTTACATTGCCTTTTATTAAATAAAAAAGGAGCACTACCTCTCAATTCTACTAGTATTATTTTAATCTAAATAGTACCAAAATATAGTGGTTTTTCCAATGTAGCACCATATGTATATATTTATTTTTCAATGTAGTACTACTGATCATTCTTCAAATAAATGTCTACCGCCACTGGACATTATTCAAACTAAACGTCCACTGGACATTGTTCCCATCACTAGACATTATTCAAGAACTATTTAGAAAATAAAAAAAATTTAGGTACTACATTGGAAATGTCATATGTTTTAGTACTATTTAGTGCAAATTTCACTTTTTTGACGAGGAAATGCATGGTCTTAGAGTGAGATATTCTCGTCCCAAATACATTTCCATATTTTCACTTTTGTGGTCAACTTTCTACACGCTTTAACTATTACTAAATCTAATTATAAATAAACAAATATTATAAAAATCTGAAGATTTAAAACTACGCTTAGGAACAAATTCAATCATATTAAATTTATATAATAACTATATTTATTTTTTCTAATTTGTAGTGAAGGTGTATAAAAAATTAATAAAATAAAGTCGAAAGAAGAGCATGTTTATTGAGGCATAGGTAGAATATGACAGTACTTTGAAGTACCATAGTCTTGGATTATGCATATGACCTCTTTCGAGGTTGATAAAGGGGCATTTCCCTAGCAGTGCAAGTTTTTAAAAAGCATTCCCAAAGAGTGAAGGATGCTGTTGACCATGTGGCCCATTCTGACATACGGTACCATGTGTTGTCTGAATTTAATGTTTTCGATTATTTAAATGTTTTTAATTTATATTTTTGACATTATTTTTTATACTTTATTTGTTTTTCTAATACGGAGTATTAATGTTTTTTGTCTTTTTAACGGAGAATTTTTTTGAGATAAATTATATTTAAATTTCACAATTTTAATTATTTGATTGATGTTTCATTCATCCCAATTTATAGTGCATATTTCAGTTTATGATATTTGACTGAAAAAATTTCAAATCATTTTATATTACAAATAATATAGAGTTAAAAAATAAAAATTACATATTAAAATATTACTTCATTCGTCCCAAAAAGTTTTACACATTTTGACTAAACTAGAAATTAAGGGAAGGATAATTTTGTGTTGACTTTCCCAAAATAACCTTGATTTGATGTGTAAAAGTAGAATATCATGTGTAGATTATAAGAAAAAGGGTATGATGTGATAGGTAGGGTTTGAAAAAGTAATGGGTAAAGTTGGTTTTTTTAATATAAATGGGTAGGAGATTGCGGGACGCAATTTTTTTTGAAAGGTGTAAATCTTTTTTAGACGGATGGAGTAAATCAAAATTATTTTAAATCACATATTTTAATTTTTGGGCATATTTAAGGAAGAGAAAAAATAGAGTTAATTTTTCAAAATTATCATTACTTTTTAGGAGCGGTGACGATGAATGAGAAGATAAGTTAGAGAAAAGTGATTTATTTTAGGAATAGTTTAGGTATTTTATTCTTAAAAGTTTATAATAACAAGTAACATGTAACTTATTTTGTAACTTACATTAGGAAAGTCATTATCTTTTAGTCCTATTTAGTGCAAATTTCACTTTTATCAAATAACTAACGAAAATATATAAATAAGGTGATTTAAGTTTGACCATGTAAATAGTAACTAGGAATACGGAGTATAATTTTAGGACAAGTAAATCCTTTACTAAAATAAAGGATACTCTGATTCACAGGAATTTTACGTTTGACGTGTTTATGTGGCAAAATTTTAACATGTTAGCACCACTTAATAACTGAGTAAAATTTAAAAAATATAATTACGGAGTGCACCAGAAGAAGAAAGAGGAAAAAAAGCAAAAATCCTTTAGTACAATATTTGAGACTCAACTAACAAAATTTTGATATGTGATGGGTTTGATTGACATTTTTAACAATTCAATATAATGTTAATGTATTATTAAGATTATATAATATTATATAATATAAATTTAATATTCCCTCCGTCCTAAAACTTTCTTTCCGGTTCGCAAAACGAAGAAAAATTTTTGAACTTAAAATAAAGTCGGTCAAACGTCGTAAACACAAACAGGAAGATAGTTTTAGGACGGAGGGAGTATAAATTTTTGTATACATTTTTATTATATAAATTTTATTTTTAAATTTTATCCATATAATCAAATATATTAAACTAAAAATAAAATTAATTAAACATCATAATGCATAATTGAGAAAGTTTTAGTGGGTGGAGGAATTAAGTAAAAATTGGGGAGAATATTCGTTAGTGGTACATGGGTACCATTTGAACAATTTTTTTAGCTTGACACGTGTCTACATCTCTTTGGCCAGAACTAATATCTACTGTTAACTTTTGGAAGCAGCACTGAATGGGAATGGTTTTTCAAATGCTGCACTGTCCGGGAATTAATTCGTTGATAAAGATGGAAAGAGATGCATACGAATGGTGTGATAAATACCTTTTTTATTAATTTTTCTGTGCTCTATTTTAATTCAAACTCGAGTCCATAACCAAGCAACATTAAAAGAGTATATCTATAGACTTTTACATTATGAGAGTGGATACTATCAGTTGTTACGAGAGATGCTAGCAGGATGATATTTGACATTGAAATCATAAAAATTACAATATTAGTGTCTCTAATGTCGTGTGGGTATATATATTAACGATGATAATAAACATTGATGGAATATACTTAAGACAAAGCAATTATATCAAGAGTAATAAGATATGAGAGGCATTAACTATTAAGCTCAAAGTTAATGAAGAAAGATGAACAGAGATATATAAAAGTCGTGTGATATGTATAAAAGTAATAAGATATAAGAGGCATTAACTATTCAAACTTGGACTAGCGAAGGATACCAAGTTCCCTCATCTAAATCAATACCAACAAAAATATAGCGACATAAATCTTTCCGTCGCCTTTTTCATCGTCGAATCATATTACCTACGAAATCTAAGGGGTGGCAACGAAATTTTCCATTGCGATTTTGGAAGTTTTTTGTAGTGCAATGGCATGCCGATGAACACTAAAAGAGTATATCATTGGACGTACTCTAACATCACGAGAGTGAATATTATCAATAGTTAGGAGAGACATTAAGAGAGTAGCTGATATTGAAATCATAAAAATTACATTATTGGCATATATAATATCGTGTTGATCGGTATTAATGATGATGATAAACATTGATGGATGTTAGTTCACTTAAATAGACTTAAGACATTAGTAATTAGATGCAGAAGTAATAGAGTACGAGAGATATTAAACTAATAAGACCCTTTGCATTTTAAGAATGAAATATCTTCTCATCAAAACACGAAAAAGGATATTTATAGGTAACTATATGGAAGTACCCTCTCATATACAATAAAGACATATTAATGTAATGAATAATACTTAGGAAACCCCACTTGAGTACACCAATGCATAAATTAACACCTACACACAGTTAAAGGATGTGCATGGAGAGACATTGAATTATTTGTGTGTGCCTATTTGTGCTTTTTGGATATATCTCAAATATAGTTTCCATACCACTTTCCTAATGTAATCTATGATCATGGAAGATCATGGGAGAAATAACGAGAGAAAACTCTGGTCTCCTGAC